TGATTTCGATCGAAATAGAGTCTGTAGTATTAAGATGTCGTATGTCATGGAAAGATATCGATTGAAACGGTTGCGTGACGTACTTACATACCTTTTTATCGGTGGAAAATGAATAATTCAAATCGATGCGTGAGACGGAAACCGAGATGGTAATTAAACATGACAAGATTACGTAATTCTACGTTACATGTCAGATGCAATTGATTATTCAAATATCGGACATATTTTTTTCTCGGAGATTTATTCAAATTATCGTACGTTAACCTGATATTAAAGTATGATTCTAATAAATTTTATAATATATACGGTGATAATATATATTATTGTATTAAATTTGTCACATTACGTATATTCGTCGTGTCCTCATAATATCTGAATTATGAAAACAGAATAGAAAATTTCCTCGTTTGTTTGAAAATAATTGGTGATTGGTATGCTTATAACGTATATGAAAATTATAATAGATAATAATTAATTCCGTTGTGTGTAAATTGTTTTGGAATTTTAAAATGATGAGGTTATTTTGCATACAAAATACATTTTTTCCAGATTTCTTCCTATTTGTTTCTTTTCCGGTTAAATCAGTTAATACGACATTAATTTAAATTGATATTTGTTATGCAATAATGTAATGTAATTTATGTTAATTCATATATATATGTTAGAAATTCGATATAAAGTGTTAAAAATGTACAATAAGTAAAATAAACAATATTCATACTTATAATATACGATATATTAATATTCATGATGATAACAATTTATAATTTCTATTACTTTTGTATCATGCCATAACAGTTCATATAACACTTTCCAACAGAATTTTGAATGAGACTTTTAAATTGTAATCACGTTCGAGTGGAATTAAATTGCGCAGAAATAAGGTAGAATATTAAAATTCTCATAGCAATGTAGCAACGATTAAATGCCATTCCGCACCGCGTTGTTCGTTTGAATTTTGTGTTTCTTTTATGCCAATCTTTTAATGCCGAATGTTTTCAAACGCACAAACGATAACAGTGTCGCTTGTACGAAGTTCAAGAAGCAATCCATAGTGCACAGTCTCGGATAACGTACGTTGTTTTTAAAAACAATCTCGATAGAAATATTTTAATTTTACAACATGTATTGCCACTCGTCTAATCACCTACGAATCAAATAACGTTACCACGATCGAAAAGCATGCTTTTAAAAAAATATCACAAAAAATATGCAAAATTAATAATAATACGTGAAAAATAATGTAAACGGTAAAGAGTTAAAGTAAAATTTCAACTTTTTGCTTTGTGAATTTATTTTTTTATGATTGCAAATGTGAAAAATATTTTTTTTTTTAAATATTATGTGAAAATTGCCAACAATATGCATGTGAAAATATATTTTTTTAAAAATAATATACATCTCTTTGACACGATTAGTTTTATGTTAAAAATATCACATTTTTATCAGGTGTCGTGAATAATCAGACTATTCTTGTGTTATTTTTTTTTTTTTTTTTTTCTTTTTATATTAACCTCGAAGAGTTGTTGAAAATGTAAGTTTTTATATTTGAAACGATTTTTTCATTTATTTCTAATTCACGCGAGATAAGTGATTGAAACAAATAATTATAAGTTATGATAGGATAATAATAATATGTTTATGATATATATGATTAGAATCTTTTTAATTATTGTGATTGTCTCTCAAGACAATTATTTTCTTTGAGGGATAATTATAAATAAATATCATGATAATATATAATGATGATAAGAAATGTATATAAAAAAATAAAAGTATGAAATTCGTGATTTAAATGAATGCGATGTACACATATATGTTTTTTAAAACAATATGTGAAACGTACAAAATCGATATTATATGCGTTTAAAATCGTGTAAAAACAAAACTCTTTGCATTTCATTTTTATACATAAATTTCTTAATCTTCTTAAACTTTCTAATTTTCCAATTTTTAATTTAAAAAATATATATAGGTTCAATTTATTCATGATATCAATCGAATATCGAAGCACAATGTAAAACATTATTGAAATCGAACGAGACATCAACGAGACATAAATATTATCTACTTGGTTACGAAACAATTGTTACCACGAAGCAAAATACCATACGTTTTTACAAGGAAACTGTCCATGACTTCTCTCCATGGTGGAATTACAACAACAATCAATAGCTCGATTACGAGACCACAGAGAAGACAAATCCTGCAGAACACTTTTTGAAAAATACATGAATCAAGATATTGTGTCGAGATACAAAAGTTAATAAATTTCTGCATATATATCCTTCTATACCGCAGAACGGTGACATAACGAATTGAAGGTCGGGATGATATTTATGTGCAACGCGATATCTGTTTCCGGAGACTCGAAGAAATTAATGTTAATTTCAATATTGAAAAAAATACTAGTTCGAAAGAGCGTTTTCAGTTTTCTTACATCTTCTTCCGCGACAATAAACTTCCTTATAATATTTTATTAATTAAGTATAGAAAGAATTTTGTGGTTTTTTTCATAGCAATTTGCAATCTGGTAATTTTATAATGGAGTATGATTTATGATTTTTCATTTTTTTTAATAACTAGATTGTGATGTTTAAACAGAAAGAATTATGTAGCAATTTCTCTTCTTGGTTACATTGTGATGCAAACTTTCTACACTTTGGAGTGGAAATGTTAGCTTTCACAATGTTTATGGAGTCAATACAGCTGTAAAAAGTATTTGCACGCTGTTGTTACAACATTTGGATATTACTTAATTAAAACTATAAATATTGTATTTCATATAATTTAGAAACTGTTTTATGTATTTATAGAAATTTGATATTGTAAAAATGAAGCGTAGAAATGAATTCATCAATTCGAAATATGTATAACATATAACAATAATATGACAGTTTCTCGAAAAATAGAAATGAAATAATTATAATAATTTTGATTATATAATAATAATTATATAAAATAGTAATAAAAAAAATGCATATCTTTGAGAATTCACTTTCGATAATGAATTGTAATGCTCGAGGAGTTAATTTGAATATGATTATGATATCGTTATACAAATATCTTTTTTTCAAGCATAAAACTAGACTTTATGTTTCCTTTCTTTTTGCTCATAAATTCCATTTAACGTAACCTTTCTCTTGAGCAAATCAGGCTTGCCAACTTCACAGTCATTTAAATTTCATTAAGTAAAGTAACATAAAATTATAATTATTAAGACATATTTTTAACGAGTGAATATCCTTTATTATATTCAATTGAAAATTAAGAAGAAAACTAAAAGTGAATTATAACAGATTATATCTATTAAAATTTTAAACGATTCTTTGATTATCAAAATATTATTTACTCGTTATTTATGTTAAAAAAGCACGTCGTTTTTTTTTAAATTTCCTACATTATTCTGATACATCTTTTATTTTAACAATCTAAGATTTTATTAATTATGAAAAAAAAAAGATTAAAAACAATGTAATTTTAATTTATAATAACATTTGCTATTTATATATTTAGTCAATTGTCGCAAATGAAGATGATATAAATAAATGATACATTTTTAATAATTCACAGTATATAAAAACATATAAAAAAAACTATGAAGCTGATTAATAAAATACATTCATCACTTGCATAAATCAATAAAATTGAATAATATTTTTTAAAGAATGCTAATTTTGCACTGTCCTCATTCCAAGAATTACAAAATAGTCTGTCAGAATTTTTTTTTGCACTTATATAACTTATCGTATATTATTTATCAAACCGTAGAAAATGAACGAATAAAATTTTCCATCGAGGTATCAAGAAATTAGTTTTTTTTTTTCCTAAAAGAAATTTTATTCGCGAGAAATTATGTTAATAAAGGACAAGGTTACGTAATTTGTAAACTAAATAATAAAACTAATAATAATCAAGCTAATAATATATAATCTATTTGTGAGGATGCAAATTATACAAGCTATTCATTATTGATAGTAAAAATTTGTTTTGAAAATCATGAATGTTTATTATTAAAATATACAAAAGTTTCATTCATATCCACATTCTATTGAAATACTTTTCTACGTTTCTCAAATTCCAACTATTGAATTTATGAGCGTTTTATAATGATTAATTAGTCATACGTATTATAAAAGATAATCCATTATATTTACTGACGATGAGATAACAGTAGTTAGAACTATTAAAACAATTTTCCATTCGATAATTATTGCTAATTAATTAAAAAAATTTATAATACAGGATGTAACGAAGTAAACGAATGTTTAATAGGGAATTTATTTATTTAAAAATTTATATAATATTGCTATCTTATTTATCTTTATATTTACATTGTGAATATCATTTTATACATTCATTTTAAGATATTAATAAAAAAAGATTGTTTTGTTCTATTTCAACTCAAAAAATAGGCATTACAAAATAAATAAGTAAAAATTCAATTTAAATTAAATTAGATTTCTATGTTCAATCTATTTTGGAAAGTTTTTATTCAAAAATTTTCTAATTACTCGACTAAAATGTAATGGAATATAATTATGCATAAATCATATCCGAAATTTATAATATTCTTTAAAATTTCCATTTTCTGCTCTGTTTAAAAAATTCATTATAACTCATTAATATGGAAGGTATGAGTCATTTTCATTGTTTAGATGTGCAATCAATTTCTGAAATTTCGCATACATTACATCCTCTATTATTATATTAAAAATAATATTCATATGTTAAATTTATATTAAATTTCTCATATTATTTTGATTAATATTATTTTCAATTAATTAAGCTGCAAGTAAAATTTATCTTTAAGAAACTTTAGCAAAATTCAGGATTTACTTTGAAACTTTTGGAACATCTAAATTATGTATTAGCTTTATTTTCGATATAAAAAATAAATCCGATACTCTTTCATTAAGAAATCAATCATTTTGTTTGCAATAATCAAATACGTTCGAAAAGTATCATATTTTGGGGTAGTTTCTTCCATTTCTTTATAGAAGACGTATCTACTGAAGACGAGGCGACCCGGCAATGGATTATGAGATACGGCACAGTAATTACCACGAATTGTCAGCGTTGTCAGAGTTGAATGTTGGTCCATTACAAATGTAATTGCATAACTCGTGCAACGTTGGACTTTGTTGAACGAGTCCGAGTGTTAAGTATTCTCTTCCTGAAAGATTCTACTTCTCTTCGTTTTCCCCCCATCTTTTATTTTCGTCTCTGTTATACTTTCAATTTGGAAAAAATTGAACGAAATAGAAAAAAATTTGCACGCAAGGTTTAGAAGTTTGAACGCATAATGGTTATTAAGTAATTGCGTTCAAACAACGACTTGTCGTGGAAGCATATAGTGGTCGCGCGAGAAACGTGTCTGATCAACTGTAGCGTGATTATTATTTTCAAAAATTTGCTGTATCGAATCGAGGATAATATAATAATTTGTTATTTTTCTCTTAAATTTTTTATTGACACAGTATGCGATCACATTTCTGAAATGCTCTGTCGCTTTTTGTATTAATTATCCTTTTACATAATAAGTGGACAATGTCTCTAAGTAGATCAACAAATTTTCTCTAATTTCTTTCTTTAAATTTTCAGTGGGATTTCTAATTAAAAAGAAGATCGACAATGCCAGTTTGAGAGAAACGTTCATGTCAAAGCAAGGACAAGTTTTTCCTAATCGATCCTAATGTATCGAGGTTCGTAGAAACAAGGAGAACTCAAGTAGTACGGAAGCATCGTAGCTCAGTAACCCGCGACACGTTTTCTATTCAAGGATTGGCATTGCATATGGAATCTCGCGAGGCAAGTATGATACTCTCATACTAATTCTGTTGATCAACAAAAAAATAGAATATAGATCAGAATTCAAATAATTTTCTTTTGTAAAAATATAAAAATATACTTTCTTTGTTTGTCACGAATGGATTAGATACAAACTATTAACGTGTTTAAATAATTTTTTCCTCTTTCAGTTTAACCCTTTTGAATATAACTTTTTGAGAAAAGATTGATAATAAATTATTATTACTAATATTATTACTTAATATTAAATATTTAACTTTCTCTAATTGGCAGAAAATTTTTGCAACCTGTCAATAATATGTCAATAATTATATAATAATATATTATCATTACAATTGACATACTTTGCTGTGGAAAATAAATAAGAAACCTGTCTGGAGCTTCGATTCAAAAGAATTATATTGAATATATATGCATATGTGTGTATGCCATCATAAATCTCCGCTATTATCCATTTTATCTGATTATGTGGTCGGCGTTGCGAACGAGCAAAAATGGCATTAAAATTGGTGCAGCGTGACCAAAACATTCTATACATTTATGCATTTTTGTTTACTAGTGATTTTTTTTGTTATCGATTGATAAACAAATTCATGAGAAAAATAATCCTTGTTTTTTTTTTCTTTTTTGGTTTCAAGAAAACTTTTAAATGAAAGTCTATAGAGAAGTGTATCGAGAATTGATTGACAAAAAAATTTATGATTAAATAATATGATATTGAAAGTGAAGAATAGAAAATGTAATAGATAAAGATAAAAGGAAATTGGAGAGATAATACTTGTGAATATTCACAAGTAATATTTTTTTAAGATTTATAATAATTAATATTATAAAATTAAATATTATTTATAATATCTTATTGTTGTTGAACAAAAAGTATTTTAGATCAGTGATTGTGATTTAAACACAATAGAAGAGAAATAAAAGGAAAACACGAATAATCGTTTATATATCATAATTTAAATCAATTTCTAACAATCATATTATTTTATTATCATATAAAAATATATAATAATATAATAATAAAAAAGGAATAATAAAAAAGCGTGTAAAAAAAAAGCATTATGGCACATCTATTGTAAAAATCTCAAAAAGTATCGATAATTAAAAATAATCAGGAATTAGATTTGTCCAGTATTCTTTCGTTCCTTTTTTTTTTTTTTGCAATTACCATGATTTATCGCATTTTTCGCATACAATTATTATATTCTAATTAAAAATTATAGATGAAACTGAGTATTGCAATTTAATCGATTTTAGAAAATAATTTGTACTATATTAAAATACATTCATGCAATAGATTCAAGTAATTACACGAGCAAATCTCTAATAATAACTAGATTAGAGTTGCACAACTCGAGGAATCATTTTACAAGTAACTATCCCATGATAAAAAAAAATTTACTAAGATCATGTCTAAAGTTCTTACATTTCATAGATGTATGTCCATTATATCTAGAGATTTATTAGAAACATAAAAAAAATTTTAATAATTTTGAAAAATTATCAAGATTTAATTAATTATAAGTGAAATAAAAAATAAATTAAATTATTAATTAAAAGAATTATTTATTATATTTATACAATCGTTGGAAATATTTAACTTAAACTAAACGAAGAAAAAATTGCAAATGAAATGTTAATAAATAATTACAGTGACTATAACGAATGACTATTAACAATGATGACTCGAAATAATTATACCATTTAAAAGAATTAAATCTGAATTTAAATCGAAACTCGGTTTACTTAAGTTGATTTAAAAGAATATATATATAATAGTTATTTGACATTTGCATTCATTAGAGATTACAAGGTTTGATTTAGAGAATAGATATGGATCTGTTGTAAATAGAATTTTCTTTGTATTTCTAATGGACTGTGTATTCTTAAATAAGGAAAAGAGAATGGTGATTGTTTATAATGGAATGAATGAAGTATTTTACTTCGTTATAAAAATAAGAAACGTTGATAACAAAATATGCACACAAGCTAATTCACTTTTGCAATTAGTTAGAATTATAATTGATAACATTGTAAATTAAATTTTAATGTCACAGTATATCATTTTTAATTTATTATAAAAGAAAATGAACATTTTCTTAATTAAGAATCAAATATTAAATTTTATTTTAAATCATATAAGCATATATAATGGAAGAATTAAAATTTATAATTAGAAGGAATGCTTAATTCTCGAATAATATAAAGTTTTTAAAAACATTGAGATGGAAGAGATACGTGTCAATGGTTAACGCTTTCAGAGATTAGTTATTAGATCATCGTTATCGGTAGAATAAACTATTATTCACGACAAAGAGGCGGTCGATGATTCAGTACAATATTATTTAGATAACAAAAGTTTAAGAAACAGTGTCAGTATGCCTGAATGACTTTTCCACATGTATACATATATATAGAAGATGAAAAGAAATTCTAATACTGATTAATATGTAAAAGAATTTAAATTTTCATCGATATAATAAAACGTACAAAGTGAATATAATAAATGTAAGGAATATGTGGATGAAATGGAAAAAATATTTTCGCATTTCATATTCTATACATGAAACATTTTTTTACTTAAGATTATAAAATCAAAATTTAAAATTTTAATATTTCCTTTTTTAAATTTTAAACGTATCTAAATATAAATGAACAATTATTTTTTTTCATGTTCATTCAATTGCAAAAAATATTCCCAGAATTGTATTCAAGAAAACGTTGAAACTTTAATTATTATCAAAGAGTATTATTAAGAATTTCATGTATAATTTATTGTATTCTATATATATACAAATTAAAATTATTATTTTTAAATTGTAAATTTTCTTATAAAATAATGTACGTAGCATTACTTTATAAGAAACTAATTATAAGAACATACTAATTCTCATACTGTATTCTAAAATAAGCAATATTTGTAAAATTAAAAGGTAATATTCGGGCATCTGGTAATCTCGATTTCAAATATTTATAGTTTCGTCATCTCAAACGTGACATTATGTTCAATACGGTAAAAGAGTAAAGTCACATCGGAAGTGATTATACAATAAATTCACACATATACGTATATTTTATTTTTCCAGCTAATATAAATTTTATAATTATAATGTTATAATTTTAATACAATATAATATAATACAAGATTGTAGAATATCGTGTGTGATTTAATCATTTTACTTATTTGTTTTAATTAAATTAATTAGCATTAGAAAATGTCGTCTTATTTAAACAATTTTTACGTGATTTATTTTCGTACGTAAAAATACATAGGAAATTATTGTATCTTTCATAATATTTAGTATAAATATTTACGTTGGAATCTCTTATGGTCTCACAATCGAAGAATTATCATTGATGATATTTTCAAATGTAAACTTTTCATCGAAATGATATCACTAAATAATCTAAAATAATTTTGTTTTGCATTCAACCGCACATAATTCAATGAATCTATGGAACATTTAGTCGAATGATTCGTTCTATGGATATATATATATAAATCTTCCCCTGGCAAAATTCTTTAAGTTTAATTCAATGTTCCTTTCTCTCATCGCGGTATCGGTCTGCAAATCTTCTTGACATAGATTTCCAACAATAAGTAAAATCTATCGTTACGTAAAAACACAATGGCGACCGTTACCAAATACCATGCAAATTTACGAGTTTCTCTTACGAGCAATGAAATATCATGCTTATTGTTGAACATTTTAAAAGTCGATTTTATCAAGGATGTAAAGTAGTTAAGTTTTAGTGAATTCTAAAACTTTCTTGGATGTTGTACAATCTTTTAAAAAGATTGATATTAGGATAAATCTCGTGTTAATGGAAATATTTCGTGATTTTAATTAATAACTGTAATGTTTTTTTATTTATTTAAAAAGATTAAGACTCAAATTTCCCTTCATAATTATTGAATTTCGTGCTATTAATTATGCTATTACTTTTCATTTGCGGTCTAATTATTGTTGATCCGTAACAAATCTATCAGTCTTGAAGAAACAGATTTATAAATAATAAAAGATACACTTTAAAGTTTGTGCTATTTCTTAAGTTCTTCACTATTCGTTCCTTCTATTTTTATGGTACTTTATAAATTTGTGAATATAAAGATTTATAGAAGATAAAATTTCTTTTTTACTAACTAAAGAAACTAAGAAAACACTTTACGATATTACTAACCAAGGTTTCTCTCATAAATACAGTAAGGATTAAGTAAAAGTGAAAGAAGAAAAACTTCTACAGTTTTCTACGATTATAGAATATATCATTTTTCTATATTTACATTTTTCAAAAATCAGCATATTTTGAATGCCAAATATTATACATTTTTTTACGTTACGTTACACGATATCATTAATCCTAATTAAAATACCAACAGATTTGCATTGAGAAAAACGTGAAGAATTCGAAAAACGTAAGACGACAAGAAATTAGAAAGAATTTCAACTATTATCTCATAAAGACTAGATAAATCAGAATAATTATAAATCCAATAATAAGCACAAAACGCAAGAATAGAAAGATGCATAGAAATCGAGAGCAA